GGGGATCGAACTCATGCAGAAGTGGCTTTAGCTTCTCAGTGCAGTGCTTTAACCCGCTGCGCCACCAGGGAGGGCCCTCTTTGAATATTTTTATGAGACATTTTCCCTTATCTGATTTGAGTCTTTCTCTTTACTTAACATTTTTGAAGATAATGAGTTGATGGTGTTCTCTCTTCCTTTACTGGTGCCTTAATGTTTATTATTTTTAATACTAAGCTCATCAATGTGTATGATATGTTCTAAGCCAATGTAACTTTTATCTAATAAAATTCATATTTTTCTCATCTTTCACTAGAATAATATTGCTGTAGACATACACATTTTGCATGTTTTCTCTTTTATAACTACACAGTGTATGTGTGAGCATATAGGACTGGTATATTCTCTTTTCCTTTTAACCACCATTTAGACTGAATTCTGTGAGTAAGTTTGTATTTAAGGCACACTAGTGTCCTTATGTTGATGTTTCTCTAGACTTCTGATTTTCTTAAGCTCATTCTCCAGTCAATTACTCAAGAAGGAGTCCCTGGAATGTTAAATCTAAAGTTATTACATGTTGATAAGTTTGCCTGTGCTCTTGAAAGTGGAAATCAGTTTTACGTATCTTCTCTCCTTCACTTTATTTGATGTATTACTCCATGTCTTTCTGGCATGTTGTTATCTGATTGAAAAGTGATGATAATTAAGTTTTGCTTTTCTTAAAAATAAATTCTTCTTTGTCATGATAGCCAAAAATTTTCTTTTAGTTCAGTAATTTTATTTAATTATACATTTGTGTCTTTTACTCTGCAACCATTATACTTCACCTTTCCTGAAAGGTGACTGCAAGGTAGTTGGTTTTTTCTTAGTGATCCCAGAGAATGTTCAAGCAGTGAAGGCAGGAACTAACTGGTCTTTTACTACCTCATTCTGGGAGTCAGTATCAGTTTTGTTACTGTTTTGATTCATCCAAACAGTTGCAATGAGAAGTGACATATACCCCAACTTTTGATGAGAGGAGTGGCAACTAACAGCCATATTTTAAAATTACTGTAGTATTTTCCTTTAAATTTATCTGACATTAAATTTAGTTATGATCATGTAGTTTTGATTGAACTCATAGTTGACATTTAAAGTTGATGTTTGCTAAGGTTATTATTAAAATATCTGAATTATTACTTTTTATATATTTTAGAAATAAATTTATTAGAGTAATTACTACCGTTAGTAGTTCATATGTAGTAACGACTACAAATACTTTGTATTATTAGACATTTTACATTTACATGTACATTTGTGAAATACATATACATTTTGACTATTTATAGATGAAGGTAGCAAATCTGAAATATTTCTCATAAACTACAGTAATATCTTGTTTAAATTTAATTTGTAAGGTTGAGCCAACCATGTTGATCCTTACTTTCATGGTATGTGAATTGTAATGTGTTACGTACATATTACATTATATAAGTAAACTATTTTTACCAGAGTAGAACATTTTAGTAAGATCAGTTATCTGTGTATATGTGTGTGTGTGTGTGTGTGTACCCACCTATAATATCTACCTTCTAATAGATGATTTTCAGTGTTTTCTAAAAGAAATTTGATGATCTTTTTGAACAAAGTATTATATAATGCTTAAGCTGTAGACTTAATATAAAATAGATAGTCTCTCATAACAGTTATTTTTCTTGGGATTCTTCACAGGGTTCTGCTCAGTGGACATAAATGGCAATTAGGGTTACTCATCCACAGAAAAACCTGCTTTAAGAGTATATTTTACCATGTGATCTTAAAATTTACTGCATTCTGTCATATTTGAAATACAGTAAAAAGAAAAAAACACTTGGAATTGTATCATTCATATTGCTACCCTCTGGTATTGCATTTTCTCAGAAAGCTCTTTACCTTCAATTTTTTTTTAAGATTTATTTATTTATTCATACAGAACTGGGGTACAGGCCAGAGATGCAGAGGGTGAGAGGATTCACCAGAGACAGAGTGGGGAGCAGAACAGGCAGATAGACGTAATACACTGCTGAGGGGAGCAGTGGGCGGTCAGGAGAGGTCTGCCACGCCATGTGGATCTCCTTCAGGGCAGGCGGGGATCGAACTCATGCGGAAGTGGCTTTAGCTTCTTTGTGCTGTGCTTTAACCCGCTGCGCCACCAGGGAGGGCCTCTTTACCTTCAAATTTTAATTTTGATTTTTGTAGTTACAAATTGTAGTGACTTTTTTTAATGACCTTCTCTGTAAAATGAAGGGTATGCAGTGTTTGAAGGTTGGTTATATGTTTTGGTGGTGAAAGGAAGTATGGTATTTTGAACTAGAAATAGTTCATCAGGTGGCTCTTATCATTCAAATGATCCTAGTGAATAAAGAATTTGCCATTGAACTATTTTTAATTTTTATTTGCAGGTAAGCTTTTGGGTTGTTAGAGAGATTCTTCATGCACAAACATTAAAAATTAGAGCAGAAGTTCTGAGCCACTATATTAAAACTGCTAAGGTAAGAAAAATGTATGCTTTTATTTTTGAGTTTGAGCATTCAGAAATGTTTGTAATTGGATTACTTGTTTGTGACATTATATACTATTTAATGATACTGGAAATAAAACTTGTCAGTATAAGTCAACTCTAAATCACATGCCTGTTTTCTTTCTTCTATCTTCTGCCCCTTTGTTTTTTACCTTCCCTCTTCCCCACTCCTTCAAAAAAGCTGAATTATATGATTTATTTGACTGAATATGTACATAGAGGTCAGATTAGAATGAAGTTGGATATTTATTGAATATTGGACTGTTCTGCAGATGGGAAAAGCCTTGCATTAGGTAGAATACCTATCACTTAACTTATTTTGAAATAGTTTACTTTGCCAGTGAAGTGCAGAATGATGACTTCATTTTTTTTTAAAGATTTATTTATTTGTGCATACAGAACTGGGGTACAGACCAGAGGCTCGGGGGCAGCGAGAGGCTTCACCAGAGACAGAGTGGGGAGCAGAACAGGCAGATCGAGGAAGTACACTGCTGAGGGGAGAAGCGAGCAGCTCAGAAGAGGTCTGCCACGCCATGTAGTCACCTCCGGGGCAGGCGGGAATCGAACTCATGCGGAAGTGGCTTAAGCTTCTTAGTGCTGTGCTTTAACCCGCTGCGCCACCAGAAGAGGGCCTGTTGATTTCATTTTTAAAAGAAGAATATAATGAGAATGTTAACTAAATATGTTAATTGGTTATTCACTGTGGAGTATAGATAACAAATGAGGTGAAAGAAATAGAAGTTGGTTTCACGAATATTTAGAATTTAGAGGGAGGATGGAACAGGGTATAATACAAGGTAATGCCAAAATTTTATTAAAACTTGGCGGTACAGGGATTAAAGATAGTGCTGTCACACTGTTGTCAGCCACTGCAACCCAAGATCCATCCCTGGCTTGCCAGGGGACTAACCCATATGACACAGTAGACCCCTCCTGGCCTGCTTGCTGCTCCCCTCAGCAGTGTATTTCAGTACATCTACCTGTTCTGCTTCCCACTCTGTCTTTGGTGAGTCCTCCCACCCCCTGCACCTCTGGCCTGTTCCCTAGTTCTGTATACATAAATAAATAAGTAAATCTTTAAAAAAAAAAAAAAATCTAAAGCTGTCTAAAGTTCATTGAAAATTGTAGCCACATTCTTTACTGTACTCTTAAGAAATACATAACTTATCTCACCTGTGAATGAAGAAAGAAGGAATAAAATGAGGAAGCCATTTTATAATTGTAAATTATTATCATTATTACAAAGTAATGTTAACTTATTACAAAATAATTAAGCTATAACTGACTATTTTCCTTGAAGACATGGAAACAATTATATTCTAATGTTCTGTGGCCCTAAGAAGAGCTAGTCTTTTTAAACATTGATAGTTTTGTGAATTATAAAAAATTTAAAATGTTCCTTGTGAGATACTGGATAAATATAGGGTTTTAGCTAATATAAATTCATACTTTTCTCTATTGCATATTATTTTCTGATGTTTCTGTCGTTTGTTTTTGTTTTGTGTGTGTGTGTGTGTTGCACTGAAAACCACCAACTTGCCCATTTGCTGTTATTGTCATCAAATAATCATTTATGTCCATTTAAGATCCAGTTATTTTTGGAAGTGCTGGCTTTCATCCCAAGCCCTAAATTGGTAACTTTTTTCCCTCATCACTGTCTCTTAAGTCTCTGTCTTCTGTGTTCAGTTAAAAGATTAAAAAGTGGCCCATGTGATTGAGAGAGGGTGGGGTGGCAGTTCTAGGAATTCTGTCATCTCTCTGGCAGCCAACCTTTGAACCTGCCCTCATGGGGCAAAATTTCTTCTCTGGGAAACCTCTGTGCTTATTCATAAGGCCTTTCAACTGATTAAATGCAGCCCAACATATTAGCAAGTATAATATCTTTGAATTAAAATCAACTGATGAAACATATGTAGCCTACCAAAAGAATGATGAAGTAGATACCCACATGTATGGTACCGCTACCTACTTTGAATTCCCATGTGCCTCTTTATTTGTAGTTTCTGACCCACCTCCACTACAAAAGAAATCACTATTCCCTATGCTGAACGTCACACTTGCATTTCTTTGATAGTTTTACCGTGAATGTGTTCTTGAATGATACATTTCTGTTTTAGGATTTTTGCTTAACCTGAATTTTTCCATAATTATATTTATACTTTAGTAACTTCCCTTTTTTATTTAACAGTGTTTCCAAATGGTTTTGAATGCGTCTCTTTTGTAGAGTATTCTGTATTCATATGCCAAAGATTGTTCAATACACCGTGAATAGTTCCCATTTTTCCTGTTACTAACGTAACTGCTATAAAGCATTCTTGAGTCTCATTTGAGGGTAGAAGCCCTTCTAGAAATAAAAAGGCAAATTACATTCAAGAAAATAACAATTGCACAAATAACTTTTGTTGAATATAAGAATTAATTTAGATTTTTGTACTCTAAAATGTCTGCTCAAAGTCTTTGAACAATTTCCTATTATAGTGTTGGCCTTTAACTGTTTTCTGTAACAGTTTTTAAATGATAGTTCTGATTAGTTTCTGTTTTATGCTTTATATGTACCTTCCTATTATGAGTTATCTTCTAACTATGATATAGATGTTTTTAAATTTAGTAGTCAGATTTACTGAACTCTAATTTTTATTGGTTCATTGAAAAATATCTCATTTAGAGATCTTATGCTCATCTTTGAGAATATCAGACATTCTTTTATATTATCCTTTAATTTTTTTTAAGCTTTAGTTCTGGTCATTAATCATTTACAGTAATTTCTTATATAATCTGGGCATGAATTCCAGTTCAGATTTTAGTGTAAATAATCATTGTGGCAGCATTTTAAAAAAATCCTTTTTTAAAGATCTATTTTATTTTATTTGGAAGCATCTAAATGTCACTCTTGTTCATGAGAAATGCTATTCTAGACTGCCAGTTTGGGGATGTTTTTTGTTTGTTTTTTTCATTTACTCTGCTTGGGAGTCCTTGAGCTTACTGGCCCTTTAAGTTAATGTCATTCAGTAATTTGGGAAAATTCTCAGCCATTATGATAAATGATGTTGGTTACCATTTAACAATCTTACTAAACATTTGAATATTTTTCTTTTGTGAAGCCTTTTGCCCATTTTAAAAATTGGATTGCTTACATGGAAGGAGCTAGAAAGGATTATGCTCAGCAAAATGTCAGAAGGAAAAACAAAAATACTGAATGGTATCACTTATAGGAGGAATATAGGGGAACCAAATGAGCGATCAGGGAGGAAAAAAAAAAAGAGAGAAATAGCAGGAAACTATAACAGAGACATCAGCAGGGGAGACAAAAGGAGAGAAATTAAAACAGGGCCAGGAAGAGCACAAGAGACTATGGTGATGGTTCATTGGGTGACATGTTAGTGGGAATTACACAGAGACCACACCTGAGAGGAGAAATCAAACATTATATAATAATTAATAATGAATGAGCAGAAGTGTTTGATTTTGATCATCTCGTTTGCTTATTTATCATTATAGTTACTGCTCTCCCTCCCCTCCCTCCCCCCCCCATACCATTTAAGAACTCTTTGCCTACTCTACCATTGGGAAAGACATTTTCCTTTGAAAGAAAAGGAATATACTTCTTGTTAGTCATTTTTAGAAGTTTTTTAGGTTTGACTGATCCATCTTGAGTTGATTTTTGCTTATGGTTTGAAGTGTAGAAGTCATGATTAATTTTATCAGGTTGCTCTAACCCCATTCCTTAATCTTAAACTGCCTTGGTATCTTGGTTCAGTACTACTTGATTGAACATGGGTAGCTTGTCTGCCAACATCTTACTGACTTAATAGGGGAATAGGAACTCTTGAAATCTGATGTATTCAAACTTTGTTTTTCTTCATCAAGATTGCCTTGGCTAGTTTTATCTCTTTTGAATACCTGTAGAAATTTTGGAATTAGCTTGTCAGCTTCTATAAAATGGCCAGCTTAGGTTTTGATTTAATTTTTTTTAATTATAAATTGTTTCAGAAGGAATTGACATCTTTAACAATATTAAGACTTCAACACGATTAAGACAATCCACATATATGGTATACCTGTGTCCACTTATGTTTTCCTTACTTTCTCTTAGTAGAACTCTGTCATTTTCAGTGAAACTATCATGCTATTTTTATTCCTCGATAGCATGTTTCTGATGTTAGTGTAATTTTTTTTTCATCTCATTTTCCATTTTGGTGCTACATATGCAGACATGTCATCTGCAAATAAAGACTTCATGCTTTCTAGCTTGCTACCTTTAAACATTGTATTTAAAAGAACTGTAGAGATCAGAATAAGCCCAGTCCTTTAAGCAGCCAGGATAAGCAATTATTTTGATCCAGTTAGGAATTGAAATAGGTAAGGCTTAAGAACAACTAATTATTTTCAAATTAAATCTAGTTAATTTATTAACATTTTAGTAATGTGTCTCAGGGAAAAATCTGTCTTTTATATATTATGAGTTTCCTACCCCTTGCTGGACTCTAGATCTGAGTCCCAGCCCGGCCCCAATGACTACACTCACCCACTGTTACGTGAGCAATGAAAACTCTAGGTTTGAGATCCTAGGACTCTGGTCAGATATGTTAGCGCACAAGGCTATAAAATACAATTCCACTGGTTTCTCTCTCATTACTACAGCTATATCTCTCCATTTACTGGCCACCTAATCATTTGCCTGCCCTTGTAGATACTTGGTATATGTGCAAGGGTGGTGTGCAGCTGCTGCTAAATTCTGTTCATCTTACTCTGAAATCTCATGTCTGCAATCCTACAATATCTTTTAGCAACATGTTTTTTTCTTGGCTAGGGTGTATGATCATACCAGGTAAAATTGATACTGAGCTATAACTGGTTTTGAAAAGTTTGATATGTTATTCTGCTAGAGGTAGATCATTCCCAGAGCTTGGGGACAGTGCCAAGTTAACACATGGAAATTCTGTTGTAAGCCAACATTAACTTACTATTTAGATAGTAATAGTTTCTCAACTATTGTTGACAAATCTCAACAAAGGGTATATAAATACTGGAACACTACCGGTTAGCTAAATTGTACTTGTTAACTCAAAAAAAATTTTTTGTTCATACAATTTATTTTTCTCCTCTCCTCCTCCCCCTTTTTCCTTCAATTTTCAGAAATTATACGAGCTGAATAACCTTCATGCACTTATGGCAGTGGTTTCTGGCTTACAGAGTGCCCCTATTTTCAGGTTGACTAAAACATGGGCGGTGAGTAATCTTCTGTAGTTTAATGAAGGTTAGACTTCCTGTTGGAAGTAGTTTTAGCAGGGTTAATACTATAATAATAAATAAGGATTTTTGATTTGTGCTTTTTTCTTTAAAACCTACATTTTTCTCTTCTGAGGTGTTCACCGGGTTTGTCAGGTAATTGGGGGATATTTTACAGCTTGGTGCTGGTTTCTGCTCTTTAGGAAGTAATTTTTATAAACCCTTTATAAGCCATCTTTGACAATATAGCTTTTCATATTCATTAATGAGACAATATCTGTAAATTCCATTTAATCATGTAAAGATTAGGCTCTTGGAAAGATGATGAAGATTTAAATTGTAAGTGTCAAAAAATTACAAAATTTTATTTCTGCTGTTAGTCCATAAATACTTAGGTTTTCATCCTTAGGCATAATGGAAAATGTGGTACTTGATATGTGAATATGCAGCATTCTCATGTTCTATTAATCATATTTAGCCATTACTTGCGATGTAATTTTGACTAATGGAAATTCGTCACTTTTCACATTTGAGGGTCATACAGTCTCAAGCTACCTAAGGTATTCTTCCATTTTTTAAAATAATATTTTAGATGCAATTAAATTTGGTTATATTTAATACTGTTCTTCAATGTTAAAGAGGGATGGTTTTGTTTAATACATTTTGTGCAAAGATTAGTATGTTCTTAGGGCCCATGATAAAACATACCTGACTGGTTTCAGAGCCTTTTTTTTTTTTTAAACTATGACTTTACCTTCAATTAGCCTAGTATTACCTTCCATTTTTAGAGTATCTAAAGAAACAGGTGTTTTGCAGGAAAATCATTAGTGTGGAAGAGCTTACTACCCTTGTAATACTTTATTTGTAGTATATAAACAGCTCGGTGAAGGATTTTCCTATTAAAAATTCCTTGAAATAATGATGTCCTTATTAAAGTTTGAGTTTCATGGGGGGATGAAAATGATTATAAATGTAGTTAGGAACTTGATATTTAGCATTTCGGGGGAAAGAATTATACTCTGAATTATATTGTGGTTTTGAAATGAGATACATTTCCCTCACACTAATCTTTATTTTCCTTGAAGATTTACTTTGTTTCCTTTGTGTGTTTGCTTGAAAAGAATTCTTTTAATTTAATAGCAGCTCCATTTATAATATTTTGTACTATGTCAGGCACTGTCTAATTGTGTGACATATAATAGCTAAATATATAGGCAAAGTAACTTTCTTTACAAATGACATCTACCAGGAAAAGGTAAACTGTAAATAATCGTGATGATGAAGAAAATAAAGCAGAGTAAATGAAATGGGAAAGAAGGAAGTATTTTATATAATATGTGGAAAAAGAATCCCTCATACTTGACAGTTTGGTAGAGACCTAGGTGATTTAAGAGAACCATTCCACATAAAGATTACACATAAAGATTGTAGTCACTGCAGAGACCCTGTGGAAACTGTAAGATCAGACTTAGGTATACAAGTTTAAGGAGCAGTTGGTATAGAGATTTATTTTTGTGATCATTAACCTAATAATGGGTTTTATGACATGAGGTTAGGTGGGATCACCTAAGGCATGAACACAGATGAAAATCTCTGGAACTCCAAGATTTAGAGGTGAAAAATGAAGAGGAATCAAGAGGAAATCACGCACAGAAGTTTTGCATAGTCAGTCAAAGAAAGTGTTTCAAGAAAGAGCAATCACCTGTGTCAAATGCAGTTCATAAGTCAAATGAGCTGAGAACTCTGAGATGACTATTGAATCTGGTACTTGAAAAGAATTGGTAATCTTGGCAAAGGTAATTTCCATACTGCTGTGAGGCAAAAGGCTGATTATATTTGAGAGAATGGTAGAGAGAAAATGTGACAGCCAGTATAGAAATTGCATTTGAGGAATGTTGTGTAGGACTGAGGTGAAGATAGGCAGAGAAACATGGCAGTTGCTGGAGGGGAGTGTGAGACCAAATATTTGTGGTGTTTTGTTTTGTTTTGGGACATGAGATTAGTGGCGATATATTTGTGTGGTGGTGATAATCATCTAGAATGAGAAAAATGGTAAGAGTAAGGGCTTACTCCAGTGAGGGGGTAAAAGTGAGTCAGACCCAGTACTCTAGAGGAACAGGAATATTTTGCCCATTTTAACAGAAGAGAAGGAGATATATTTGGTAATAGTAGCAGGAAAGTTGGTAGAAGTGGAGTTTTGTACATCTTTTGATTGTTTTGTTTCTTAAGACATGAGAAGCAAAATCATAAGTTAAGAATGACAGGGAGTTGGTGATGGACAAGGAGAAAGGTTTGAAGAAACAACACAGGCTGAAAGTCAACTACAATTGGAATTTTTTAGGCTTGTTTGTACCACATACATGGTTAAGTATTATACAAGAGGTGAGTGTAAAAACTTTTACTAATAGATGGAAGATTTTAACCTAATTAAAAGGAGAGAGACAATGGACAAGAAAAAGTAATGTGGCTACTGCACTGGAAATCCTGATGCAGAGACCAAGGAGTAGAGACTGAAAATGGTGGAAGATAAAATCATCAAAAGAGAAGACAAGAAACAGAAAAGTCACAGTATGGGGAGTGCAATTTGTGTGAGGTTTGCAATCACTAACATGTAAGAGTAATATTGGTTTGATACTTTTCCTGACTACTCAGATCAAATAGAATGAAACAGTGACTTATAATAACACAAGATTTACAGTTTAGTGTTCTCTTGTCCAAAATGGTGGCCCCTGGCCACATTGGCTGTTAAATTTAAGTCATCTAAATTAAATCAAATTTAAAATGTGTTTCCTTAGCCATACTAACCACATGTGAGCGCTCAGTGATTACATCTGACAGTGGTGGTGGCTGTCATGTTGAACAGCACAGACAGGACATTTCCATCATTGTACCAAATTTGATTGGACAGAATTGATCTAGGACTTGAACTTAATAGAAGCTGGAGAATTTAAGGAGGGTGAGAGATACATAATAAGCTAAGAGTAGTTGTGATGAGCAACAAATGTTACCAGATTTATAAGAAAAGGAGAATGCTTAGAGAAAAGATAAAGACTTGGAAAAGGTGAATCATGAGTCCCAGAGGTTACAATTGGAAAGAATTGGGAAAGGTAGGGCATTGGATCCAGTTAGAAGATAATAAAAGTCAAATGGACGTTTGCCCATTTGGTTTAAAAGTTTTTAATGAATGAGGAATTGAGAATTTTTTCCTTTAACTGATGAAGGGAATGTGCCAAAAATCTACAAATTACTTTGTAAATGGAGAAAATATTGGGGGCATTCCCTTTTGCATCTAGAAATAGGATGCCTATTTTCACTACTTTGCTTTAGCATAGAAATCTTAGCAGCATAGTCAGTAGAACTGAAAAAAATAGAATTTATACTCGGAAAATTAAATATAAGAACCACATTGAATCCGACAGTTCCACTTCTAGCTACATACCCAAAAGAATGGAAAGCAGAGACTCATCCTTTTTATAGTAATATTGATAGCTTTGTTATTCATAGTAGCCAAAATTGTAAACAATCCAAAAGTCTATCAACAGGTAAATGGATGAACAAAATGAGGTATAAACAAACAATGGGAATATTTTCAACCTTTTAAAGGTATGAATCTTGACATGTCCTATACCATGGATGAATTTTGAAGACATTATACTAAGTGAAACAAGCCAGATGCACAGGGACAAATACTACATGATTCCATTTAAATGAGGTACTAAAAGCAGTTTAACTTAAAAAGACAGATGTAAGTGGTTGCCAGGGGCCTGAGAGGAGGGAGAAATAGGGAGTAATTCCTCAGTGGGTATGATGGAAAGAGTTGTGATGAAGGGTGATGGTGGTGGTTTCCCTATGATCACAGTGTGCTTAAGAACTGTGTACTTTAAAATGGTTAAGATGGTAAATACTATATATATTTTGCCAGTTAAAAACAATAGGGTTTATCTAAGGTGACTGTACAAATAAATAGGCCAAATCAGCTGTATTTGAAAATATCATCTAAAAAGACATCATTTATAATACAAATAAAGGAAACAAATACCAACAATAAATGGAATAGAATGTGTGAGACCCAAGTTCAGAAAATAATAAAACTTTACAGGTAGTCATTGAAGGTGAACAAAAATAAGTGGCGCATTACTCCTTGTTCATGGGTAGGAAAACTTCCCAATGTCTGGGGAATTCAGAGTATTTTTTCCTTTAATTCAAAATTTTAATTTCTTTTAATTCAAAATCCCATTCTGGATGCCTAAAAAAGGTTGTCTGTAGCAGTTACATAGAAAAGCAAAGACTCAAGAATAGCTAAGACATTCCTTAAGAACATGGAGTTAGAGACTTGAGCATGTACTCTAACAGATAATAAGACATACTGTATTTTATAAGACATGGAGAATTAGTGTAAGTTTAGATACCTCAAGTTTAGAACAGAATAAAGAACCCCAAAATAGGTCTGTCCTTTTATATGTAATTCTGATATATGATGGTGACAGTATAAATCAGTGAAGAAATTTATTCATTGGAACTGGAAATTTGGTTATCACTTTGGGGAAAAAATATAGATTAGGCCTTACACCATTCACAAAAGGCATTATCAGATGAATATAAGGACACAAACCTGGGGGAGGGGTGTGAGGAAGCCTTTTTAGAGATTTTTAGAAGAAAAAAGTAGTTAAATATCTCTCTGGCATAGCATTAATAAACTTCTGGCTTGGGATAGTTAAGAATTTTGTGGAAGATATAAAAAATTCAAATAGTGAACAAAGAGCTGAGTAAGTTTTACACATTAAAGTAAGAATTTCTGTTTATCAAAAATCATCTTAAACAAAATTCAGAAGAAACTTTAGGGAAAATAGGTATTCCATTTGGAATTGGTAAAGGTCTACACTCATATTTAGAGATAAAGAAGTCTTACAAGACAAAAAAGGAAATATAAGAAAAATAGAAAAGTGGGCATATTGACAGAACTTCAGAGAAGAGAAAGTACACATGGAAACAATGAAGAAGTGTGAACTAGAGCTATACATGACATGAGGGGTAGCACTTTAATGCCAGAATTGGAGTGAATAAAGCTTGTGTCAGAGACTATAAATAGTATGCTATTTTTCAGTCAGAAATCAAATAAAATTCAAAAGGACGATAAAACACAAAACCAGGATAATGATTACTGATTACCTCTTAAAGATAGCCGGCAGGATTGGATATGAAAGAAGCATCTAAGTAGATGGCATGTAGTTCTTAGTAAGAAAGGGTTGCTTGGTAGTAGTAATTATAAAATATATAGATCAATTTTCCAAAATACATCAGAAATTAATGTTGTTTGATGAACAAACTTAATCTGTACCTCATGTCCAAGACAAATAAGTTGTTTATACAAATGTACCACTTAACACCTGTTGTATGATTATACAATTCAGGGTGATGAAGCGTAATCTGGAATCTTATGTTTATTATGGTGACTGAGATGATTGAGGTATCATCCAGATTTTCCCAAAACACATTGTCATGGTGAGGTGTTGCAGAGAACTGGCCCAGGAATGGGGAATTCTCCCATTCATTCACCATTGTCATCTCTTGATCAGAAGAACTGTGGAATCAAAACATGTGGGGTCATTGTAGAAATAATATCGTAGGAACTTAAGTAGATTTGAAAAAAGAAGAAAAGGAAATACAGACTTTATGGTTATATCTTTGTCATGTGGGCTTTGGATAAATTTCCGACTATCATTAGGGGAAAATGTGTCTTAATATCTCTTTTGTCTATATTCTTCCTTTGATTAGTTTTCTGGAATCAGTCTGTACTATCCCCACCCCAGATTGAATCCTTTTAATCTAGTTATTCACTATGAAAACTCCAAAATGTGTTTCTATACACACACACATTAAACCATGTCGTTTGCCATTTTTGTTTCAGATGAGGCAAGATCAGTAATATAAGTAATTTATATTTCTTGAAAACTCACCAAAGTTTTTGAATGGTTGCCTTAGAGGGGAAAAACAGGTTCCCTGTACTTCTGCTATGTCACATCACTGTATTTGATACATCCAAGTATTTTGTTATGTGGGGAGACAGGGATACCAAGGAAAAAGTTTTTCAAACCATTGTCATACACGATGGAATACCTGTCTAAAACACTAAAGGCAAAGACTCCTTGGGACTGGTGTTCTAAAGCAGAAGGAATGATAGTCAGATATCTAATAGAAACTTTCCTGAAGACAATCTGAGTCATGGAAGCTCGAGGTTCCAACATCAGTCCCAACTATGCTTCTTAAAATACTAGAAAAATGCAGTGAATTAGGTGTCAGGGTAAATTCTTTATCTCCAGGACCAGAAGCCCTGAAAAAAAGAATTGCAGCTTTGTGAGCAGAAGAATAAAGATTGTTAGTATGTTCTGTTTCATTCATACCTTGTGATCACCCTTTGAGTAACTCTTTGAATCTCAGTCTCTCATCTTTAAGTTAATTCTTACACTTTTGTGTTAATTTCATAGGTAAATTAAGTAAGAATTTTATAGGCAGTAGTCTTTTGCATGTTATTAAATAAAACTGGTATTTTATGACAAAGTGAAATTATATCATGAAATAATGTGTTTAAAGAAAAATATATTTTTTTCTCAGAGTTTTAGTTAATTTTAAGGATATTCATTGCACATTAACATCCCTTAAACCTCTTAAGTCAGTGTGGTACAGCTGTACACATAGCACTGACCAAAGGGATTTAAGTGAAGTGTCTTGTCAAAAATATAGGGAATTATAGTTTTTATCTTCATTGGTTGTGCTTGCTATGGTTAGATTTGTTGAGAAAAATTTAATATTTTTGCTTAATGATTAGGAAAAGTGATTTTTATCATTGAGGAGGCAGGAAACAGTATTTAATATACTTAGGCATTTAAGCTGAATATTAATACATAATTTTTAAATTAGGAAAATGATCAAAATTGCTTAACCATTTAATTAGCGAGGGTGAAAAATGTATTACAATTTACTGTTTATTAAAAGTGCCATGTATATAGAAAGGATATTTATAAAAAGTTGATTTGGGTTATTATCTTAAAAGACATGTCTGATTTTACTTGTAAACTATCAAATTATAAAGAAGGTTTAATTTTGAAATTAAAATTTACAGTAACTATTCAGTTCTTTGCTATAATAAAAATGGGATTTGGAAATAACTTAGGCTTTTCTTTTTTTTTTTAGTTATTAAGTCGAAAAGACAAAACTACCTTTGAAAAATTAGAATATGTAATGAGTAAAGAAGATAACTACAAAAGACTCAGAGACTATATAAGTAGCTTAAAGATGACACCTTGCATTCCCTATTTAGGTGAGTTACGCCACTCTGTTCATTATACCTAGTTGTTGGTCGGCTTCAGCAATTTATATAAAACTCAAGTATATGTATCCTTGATGGAAATTAACTGCGAGATTGTTAAATTGAAAAATAAATGGACTGAAGGAATATGTTACCTTATTAGCTGAAATGTATTTTCATATTAAATTAGCCCTTTGCCCTTAAGGTTTTTCATAGACTCATATTTTTCTTAGAGATGACAATATAGTAAAATAATACATTTGGCTGTCTTAGTAATGCATTTAAAGAATGAAACGGTAGTTTGTAATTAAGTTTTGTACTATAAAAATACTTAAACATTAACTGAAGAAATTTAACAAAATGTTTATTAAATTCTCAACATTATGAGTTCTTATTTTACATAGTTGGTAGATATTTTTGGGCCATGCAAGTAATCTCAAAGGCTGTTGATGTTACTGTTTTCCTGAATGAAATGAGTTAGTAAGCTGTGGAAATTCAGTTTAGTGCAAAGACAAATAAGTCTATGTCTTATTTATCAGTTCATTAGGAGTTTACCTGTTTGCTATAAATTTTACAGTTTATAAACTCCAAGAAGTATTTAGACAATAACATATTTTCAACAAAATAGGAATAATGCTTTCTTAGGAACTTGAATGAAAAAACAAAGTCTCAAACCGCCCCCTTTAAAATGTGTATAATCTAAATAGAGAAAGTATTCCATGTGATATAAATCTAGCACAGAGTAAAGTGATTTGATCTTTACAGAGTAATCTAATAACATTTGTGTATTTCCAATATCCTTTTCCTCTCAGTCTCCACTCTGCCTTTTATATAACTGTTCATACTGGGTTTCATAAAAGCCATTCTTGGGAGTAACTGAAAAGCCTTTAACTGGTGTAGGAGATGCTGCAGTGTCAACATTGAAGTCTTTCTGATACCAGTGAAGATGATGAAAGTAGTTGGTACATGATAGACTCCCATTCGTTGGCTACAGTGTCACCCATATCTGTCCATAAATAGTTGAACTCAGAGCATTGCAGGACTTCCTAAGCTCCCGTAAGAATAGGGAATATTTTGCATCCTGTGTGGAGGACACAGTACCCCTAAGCACAGTATAGATGATGGTCACTGCATGCGAGAGCATTTATGTCCTGTTTCTCTGACCCAGGGTCCTGGGCCTGAATAAGCATACTTTCTCAGAGAGGTTCTGACTTGGATATTGGGAGAGACATTCTGCATGTGCTCCTCTTTAATAGTCTTGACTGTGCCCCTTGAGAATATTCTGGGGAGAGAGGAGGAATAGATTTTATTTCTTTAATCATCAGTGTCTTTATTCCATGAACATAAGCATGTTGTAGAATGAAGAACTTGATATTGAGAATCAACAACATTAAATTCCAAAATGACTACCATACCGAGTTTTCAAGTCATTTGAGTTGGAAGCCTTATTTTCTTGATCTAGAAAGAGCACACAAGTCAGAATCAAGTTGTTCTTATTAAGGCTGACTGGGACCTCATGCTCTCTTGTAATTTACTTATTTAAGTGAATAATTAAGAAAATCAAGATCCAGAAGCATGAAGACCTTGCTCATAGTGCTGAGATCTAGTTACTGGATATTTGAAATCTACAGTCTCAGGTCTTGATCTAGCATCTTACCAGTTATACCTGTTAAACTCATTCTAAAATTTAGTGATTGTATGATTTTTTTTTTCTTTGCATTTCTGATAGTTGTCTTCTTTCTCTGCCTTTCTCTTAAGTGTATTCTTCTAAAGGTCTCAGTTCACTTCTTTGTCTACACTCTTTTGGATTTTGGCCTCATGTCTTATGAATGGTCTTGTTCATTCCCCCCATTCCCCCATATATCCTCTAATAAAAATACACAAGCATAGACAGACAAGCTATCTGCTTAATTCCTAGGACCTAGTCAATTTTAGGTATTAAAATACTGAATGAGATATCAATAGGTAACTAAGTTAACATGTCTGGAAGTAAATTCATCATCTTTTCCCTGCCTCCAAACCTGATCCCCATTTTATTGCTTTCTCAGTCTTACCTTGATCACATCAGGGGAATTCTCTATACCCCACAACACACTAGAAATTTAGGTTTGGGTTTTTCACTCGATCTCTCCTTCTTATTCTTCTGTTTCTCATATTCTCTAGGAAAATTAGATACATGTTTCTGAGGATTATCCAAGAGTTCAGAACAGAAAGGGGAGAAATGGCACAGAACTTAAAAAGTTAAAATAGTGAACCACACTTTAACATCTATGTAATTTTATGTAAGGAAGTCGTTATGAAATTATTCATCCTTATATAGTTTGTTAAGAAACAACTGAGCCTGGGAAATGATTAAGGACCATTTGGCATAAACATATGGTAGAACTAGGAAAGGAAAACAAAACATTTGTTAGGTAATTTATTATAACTCAGTTAAGTTACTTTCCAGCATAAAAATCATGCTTTTAATGCAATGACAGTTTTGTTTTTAGCAAACCTTGAAATTAAATGTATTCCATCTATCAAAACAACTCTGAGGTTATTTTCAACTTATACAATCTTTTGACTGCTTCATTTATTTACATCATGAGCAGCTGGTTCATCTTTTCATTCCTTCAGTTCTGAAACATTGCTAAAATAGTTAACAATAGTTCCTATCTCCTTTAATAATAACATTTTTCTTATTTTGTTCCAGCTTTATATGATGTGGGATCATAGTTTTTAAATTTATTTGATTTCAAATTCTTTCCAACACATGAAGTTAAGCCTATTGCAGTTGCTAAAAATGTCAGCATCTACAATATGCTGTTTGATAGAACTAAACTTACCCTGAAGATATTTGAGTGTTAATACACATTATGCCTATTAGTGGCTTCTATTTACCCCCCTTCAAGTACATAGAATTTGTGTAACATTACTCTTATCATTATGTCTGTAAAGGTTCTTAAAAGTTTGGTCAACAAAAAAAATCTGTGTGCATAGAGAATACCTAAGTGCCAATCTTCTTTTAATATGAGAGATGTAAACTAAGCTAATATTTCTGTCCCTAAAAATTATAATCAAAACCAACCTTACTTTGTGGAGTTTTAAAAAGGGTAAGGGTTGTGGTGAAAACAAAAGTCTTTGTGCTAAACAATTATAACTCAAAGTAGGTTAATTATAAAAAAAAAATAGAGAATTTTTCTTGACTTTTAACTCATATCCCTTGAAAAATTATCTTCTGTTAGTTTGCTTTCAAGGTAAAAATTAGTCAACCTAGACAATTTAGTAAAACATTTTTAGAGTAAGGATACAGTTTTTCTGGAGAGGAAATAGTTTGGCAAATCTCAAGGAAAAAGATTTTTATACAAGAATTAACTGCTTTAAGTCTGAAAATCATTAACAGTACTCATTTATTCTTGTCATTAAGAACAATCTTAAAGAGGTTATTGAAGAATTTAGCATAAAAAGTTTTACTGTGCTGGAGAAAAATAGAATATTGTGCAAAAATAATTTAGTTGTATGAAACATAAATATCCTTTCATGTGCATTTACTAACCTGTTTCTATTTTTTTTATATAAACTGGAAGATGCAGTAACTATCAGCTCATGGTGTTTTCTGGCAAAGAGCATATTTTTAAGACTATGAAATTGTTGAGTCCTATATATTGCTCTCTAGTAAGTAGAAGCCCAGTGTTACAGAATTTTTGTAAACTCTTCTGCATTTTTGTAGGGCATAAGTAAACTGTTTTGATGCAGTTAGATACCATTCCTTCTTTCCCTTTGAGAGCTCCCAGCAGCCCGCTTAAATTTTTTTTTTTTTTCTTTTTGAGAATAGAAAGCTGTCCTTATATACTGCCATTCCCTATTCTCTGAAAATTCTTGTTTCATTTTCATTATGATATTTTTATTAATTGGTCAATCCCCCACCCCTACCTTCAGTGGTGTGTAAGCTCATATTTGCTTAAGGCTTTATCAGTAATATTCATAACAAAAGTTAGACATTTAGTAGTATTTATTGGTGGACTAAATTAAGTTATCCCTTTCTGGATGTTCCGATTGTTCCTTTAACTTTTTGTTGTTGTTGTTTAAGTGCAATGAATTTATTTGTGTGGCACCTTTGTACATACCATCTCCCTACCCCAATTTTCTTTTTTACATCAACTTGCTATCCAGTTTATTTCTCACCGTACTTGGTGTCTTATCTTTCCCTTCATGAAACGAAACTTAGCATCTCTTTCTTTAATACCACATATTCAAGTTGATAACATTACCTTGTCAATAATCTTTCATCTCCGGTGTCTTGGAATAGGTACCTACCATTACCAAACCTCATTAGTGTTAGTAATGAAATGAGTAATGCATGTTTAAATGTACAAAGATCTTCAGGTTTTATTGATCTTTTCTTATTTTTCAGCAGTTTTCACCTATGTTAAAATGTTGACTTTGATCGCTTAGTAAAATGTGTTTTTTTTTTCAGTTCACTTTTTTTTATTTTATAACACTTTATTTTTACATCATTTTGTACATTTTTTTTTTCATCTCAATTTTAATCCCCGCGGGTTTCTCATCACCAAGTCACCCATGTGCCATCACCATAGTCCCATGCACTTCCCTCACCACCCCCCCGTTTTTGATCCCATTCCCCACTCCACCCCCACAAAATGTCTCTGGTATATGGCTGTTCATTATTCTTATTATTTTCTCACCTGGTCCATTATACTCCTGCTACAAGCGAAACCATCCGGTATTTTTCTTTCTCTTTCTGGCTTATCTCACTAAGTATGATCTTTTCCAGCTCCATCCAAGTTGCTGCAAAAGACGTGTGTTTCTCTTTTTTGGTTGCTGAGTAATATTCCATTCCACATCTTTTTAATCCAGTCATCTACTTTTGGGCATTTGGGCTGCTTCCATTGTACCTTCTTTGCTCCTTTGCTCCAGTTTTTCCAATTGTAAATAAAGCAGCAATAAACATGGGGG